AAAATGAAACTTGGGAATTTATTGATCCTCCACCAGGAAAGAAACCAGTTGGATGTCGATGGATTTACACTGTGAAGTATAAAGCCGATGGCACAGTTGAACGCTTTAAAGCAAGATTGATGGCAAAAGGCTACACCCAAACCTATGGAATTGATTACACAGAGACGTTCGCACCTGTAGCCAAAATCAATACAGTTCGAGTCTTGTTGTCTTTAACTGCGAACTTGGATTGGCCATTGCAACAATTCAATGTGAAGAATGCCTTTTTACATGGTGAATTATTTGAAGAAGTCTATATGGATCTCCCACCAGGATGCATGATACCCGAAAAGTGTAGTCGAAAGGTCTGCAGGTTAAAGAAATCATTATATAGGTTGAAACAATCTCCAAGAACATGGTTTGGAAGATTCACAAAGTTTATGATAGCCTTTGGCTACCGTCTAAACAATTTAAGCCACACGTTATTTTTGAAGAAACAACAGGGTAAGATCACTGCACTCATTGTATATGTAAATGACATGGAAGTTATAGGGAATGATCCTGAAGAAATGAAGACTTTCAAGAAGTACTTGTCCAGAGAATTCGAAATGAAAGATCTAGGTCTTTTGAGATATTTTCTTGGGATCGAAGTATCTCAATCTAATAAAGGAATCTTTCTATCTCAAAGAAAATATGTCTTAGATCTATTACAAGAGACTAGCATGATAGCATGTCAACCAGCTGAGACACCAGTGGAAGAAGGATTGAAATTATGTGTTGAGTTCAACCAAGTATCTGCTAATAAAGGAAGATACTAAAGACTTGTAGGGAGATTGATGTACTTAGCATACACGAGACCGGATCTGGCTTATGCATTGAGCATTGTTAGCCAATTTATGCATGATCCTGGAGAGCAACATATGAATGCAGTTATGCGCATTTTGAGGTATTTGAAATCTGCTCCTGGAAAAGGAATTTTTTTCACTAAAAATGTTTGTTATCAAAACATAGATGCATATACTGATGCTGACTGGGCTGGAACTATAAATGATAGGCAATCTACATCTGGTTACTTTACTTTTGTAGGAGGTAATCTTGTTACATGGAGAAGCAAGAACAACATGTTGTTGCTCGCTCGAATGCAGAAGCTGAATTCAGAGGTATAGCGCTTACACTTTGTGAAACATTGTGGTTAAGACTTCTCTTGCGGGATTTGGGTTATCTACCCGGGCAACTTATTCGACTATATTGTGACAATAAAGCAACATGTGATATTGCCCATAATCTAGTTCAACATGATCGTACGAAACATGTCGAAATAGACAGATTCTTCATTAAGGAGAAGTTGGATGGGAAAATTGTGGAGTTGCTTAAGATTTGATCTGAGGATCAACTAGCCGACATTCTCTTCAAAGCAGTCTCAAATCATGTGTTTTCTAAATTTTTAGACAAGTTCGGCATGTGTGACATCTATGCACCAACTTGAGGGGAGTGTTGAGATTTTATCTCTTATAGTACAGCTGTATGATTGAATTATTTACTCTTTAATTTAGGACCAATTGGTAGGTAATTAGTTACTTATTTTAGCTAAATCATATTATATGAATTGGATGTAACATCATCAATGAAAGGTATCAAATAGAATTTTAATTCTCATATTCTTTCTCTGAATTTTAAGACTAACTCAGTCTCAAAATAAGTGTTCATATTAAGAACTGTAATTTATAATTTGTGAGTCGATAGACACATATTTTGTGACTAATAGAGTATTTTTTTTTTTAATACAAATAATTATAATCATAGTTGTAATGATCATGATGTCAAATTAAAAAAAAGGATTACACGTTACAACCCACCAAACCATTCAAAAGATGAACTTAAATCTTGGAAACTTTCAGCTCCTGAAATCATCGTATACCCCAACGAAAAGCAAATTACATGCATAGATGTATACCTTACCCACCCACCAGGAAGCACACTTGTGAAGTGACCCAAAGTAGGTGCCTTTAGACGACGACTCGCTTATCAAGAAACTCAACACCATGTGTGTGCTTTCCCCAATTAAACCGGCTTTTTTCACCAAATTGCAAATGGTAGGGACTCTACTTTTAGGATTTTGTAGATCTTCATCCTCCATCTCTGATCTATTTGTCTTTGGGGACCAATTATGCTCAATTTTTTTTGACTAACCCAGCTAATCAGCATAAGTTGTTATTAGATTAGTTCATCGAATGTCAAATAAATCAGAATCATTTATTAATTTATATTTCACAATGCGGTAACTTATGTTTGTAATTTAATTAATTAATTAATTTATTATAATAATGGTTTAGAGAGAAAGAGGAGGGTTGTTATTGTAAAATGATATGGAAGTACAAATCATTGACAAGTATGTCCCAATCTCATGGATGTGCCATCATTTATGTCCTGTCACTTTTATTTGTTTATAACCCATCACCTTTTTCTTATGGTGGAAGTGAAGAAAGAAAAATGGAGTAGCAAACATTTAAAAAGGTTAGGTCCTCACTCCAAATCAAAACATGCAAGTGGTCAATTTTTGCATCTGTTTAGTTTAAGATTCCTTTGTCTCTTTGTTTCTTAAGCTCCATATATTCTTAACTTTTTTAAAGCGCATGTGTCTGCAATACATTCTATAAATCACGGCTGTAGTTTTCTTTCTTTCTCACTTTCTTTTTTAATTTTAATTCTATTTTTTTTTTTTATGCAAACATTCATACGTACATACATACTCACAATAGTCATACAATTTATCATTTAGGAAGTGACAATTAAAAATATTTGTATAAAATGTTGTGCAACTTGAAAAATTACTAGGGTTATTTACGGAAAACTCCATCAATTTACCAATCCTTTTATCTCTTTTAACTCCACTTTGCACCAAACATAAAGATGAGCTTCAAGATTTCATTTTAAATCCTTTTATTTTATCTGATTTTTTCAAAGTCATAATTTTAAAAGGTGTTGAATCCAAACACGGTACTAACAGAGATACAAACAAAGAGATTTACCATAAAATTGAACAAAATCCGACCAACTTATTGGATCATTTGAACCCAAGAACAAAAATCTACCCAAGTTGTCGTCACCTTAAGTAGGGAAGAAGAACACTTATAGCGCAATTACTTTTGAAGGTGTGACACCTTTTGTTCGAGCATGCAACACCTCTTAATTTGAAAGCCCATCACGATTGATTTGAAAGTTTATTACCTCAAATTAATAGGTGTTTTTTTATTTTTTATTTTTATTTTTATTTTTTTCTTAATGTGCAACAAAAAGGAAAAATATTTTTAAAGTTGAGATTTAGCTTAAAAATTTGACCAGATATTCTTAATTGATCAAATATACTAGTATAATCTCACTTGCCTATCACCCATTTAAATGATCAATCAAGAACAATGTTCAAGAAATTCTGTCAATTTGCCGGCGTGAATATTATTATTCATACAAAAATATTATTTCTTCCGTCTAAATTTAAGTATCCTTATTGATAATTATAACTTATAAAATGTGACTCACAAAATGTGAGTCACAATTATTGATGGGAATTTTTAATTTGAAACGGGGGAGTAGTACTAGTATTTAAAAAATTATTATTTAAATATTTTTAAATTTAAAGTCTGAAAATAAGGTGGAGTCAGCCTCATTGAGTGGAGCAATTCAATGTACTGGATCGCCACTCAAGTAGTGCACAAAAATCTTGTACTTAAATCTGAACCACTGTACTAAACTATGCACCAAACTTATTATTACTGTCCTATTGTATTTGTATGCTGTCAAGAAATATTTTTACTCTTATGCCCTTTGTGTGTGTGTGTATATATTTAGAAAAATGAAGCAATTTTTTAAAAAATGAAGCAATTTTTTAAAAAATGAAAATTTACAAGGCTTTGCCAAAGAAAAGCAAAAAGCAAGGCCCTAAAGTGCAATTCTAAAAAATAATTGCAATGGTAAAAACGTTTTAAAATAATTGCATAAATGCGATAAAAATTAAAAACATGATAGAGGATGAAATTGGACATGCAAAGATCGAATTGCTTATAAGAAACAATTTCCTTTCATTACCCTTCATCCACCAAACGGTCTTTTTCACAGTTATATATAAGTTAAACATTTTTTGAATAATGAAATATCAAAAAAAAAAAAATTGCAGCCAAACAATTTTTTAAAAGTATGAGATTGCCCTTCAATGTGTAATTAATTTTAATTGTAAAATATCAAAATACTAAAAAGACGCTTTTGCCCTTCGATCATATGAAGACGTGCCTCTCATCTCTCTATGTCTCGTGAACATTGATTTGTAATAATCTGAATTCTACTACCTAATTTGTTAATTAAATCAGTGCTTTTATTTATATTCTGAACACTTATTTTTTTATTAATTAGAGTTGAGAACACTGAATTTTTTAACACCAACAAATCATTGGTTATAAATAACAATGTTGATTTGTAATACTTATTTGTAAATAACACTATTTTTTTTTTTTTTTTTTTTTTTGTAATATCAACAAATTAGTGGTTTATTAATAACTGTGTTAATTTGTTAATAACAATGTTAATTAAATCTTGTTCAACATTGTTAATTAATTCTGATTTGTTAAAATTAATATTTAATCTTATTTCATACACAAGTCAAAAGATATAAAGATTAATTTATCTTATGTCATAGGACTAACACGACGGCAAGGTGTCATTGTTAGCTATAACTTAACTTGTGCATGACTATTAATAGAACAAAGTTCGGATGTGTCAGTGTAATTTACTTTAAAAAAAAAAAATGCTGTAATATTGGTAACCGTAAAACCAGTTACAGCGAAAGGCGTTGAAAACAAGGTAAGAAAAAATGTCAGACTTTGATTATTTTATTACATAGTTGGGGTCCATTCAGCGAGCGTCTTACTCGCCAGCTGGAATTTGACGGTTGTGGAGATTTCATCTCCACCCTACATCCTCAATCGCCTTGCCAACAACTTTCATAGGAGATGCCAAACCTCTTCACTTTTTCCCATTTTCCTCTCATTTTCTTTTCATTAAAAAATTTTCCTGCCCATTTTCTATAATTTTCTACCCCACCTTTTTTGGTTCTATAAATCACCTCCTCTCCAACCTCAAAAACCTCTTCCTCTTCACTACTCTCTTCTTACTATAGATCTGAGGCTCTGTTTTTCTTGTTCTGCCTCTTGATTTCTTTGGTAGATTCTGTTCTTTTGGGGCTCGGAGGTTAGAGTTTTGGATTTAATACCAAAAACCCATTTGATTACTCTGTTGAAATCTTCAATTCCACAACAAAAAAACGTTTTTGTTGTGGAGATCTGAAGCTCTGTTGTTCTGCCAAAGAAACCATCTTCTTTTTTCTTCAAGTCAATCTTGAAGCTTCATACTTCCTTCTGAATGTTTTAGTTTCATGTCTCCAGTTCTCAGTGAAATCCTCCGTTGTGGCCTTATAATAAATTCATCTCTCAGACGCAGGACCCACCTTGTTCAATCTCTCTCTGTTGTCTTCCTCTACTGGTTTTATGTTTTTTCATAAGTAAACTATCACCCCATCTTCATCTGTACATATAACTATCTATATATATATATATATATATATATATATCAGAATCAACTACATATAATTAGTATCTTGGTCCTGCGTTTTTGTTTTGTTTTGTTTTTTTTTTTTTAAGCTACATAAATTCAAATATATATATGGCATCTTCTAGTGGAAATTCCTCAGGGTCTACTCAGTTCCAGAACTCTGGTTCTGAGGAAGACTTGCAGGTTTTGATGGATCAGAGGAAGAGGAAGAGAATGCAATCGAATCGGGAATCGGCGAGGCGGTCAAGGATGCGAAAACAGAAGCACTTGGATGATCTGAATGCACAAGTTGCTCAACTCAAGAAGCAGAACAGCGAGATCCTGACGAGCACCGACATCACAACACGACACTACCTGAATGTGGAGGCCGAGAACTCGGTGCTGAGGGCTCAGATGGTGGAGCTGAGCCAGAGACTGCAGTCTCTCAACGACATCCTTGGTTATATGGACACAGGCAATGGTGGTGTGTTTGAGCCTCAGCTGGATCATCATCTCATGAACATTAATCCATGGAACTTGATGTATCTTAACCAACCCATCATGGCTGATATGATTCAGTACTGATCATCATCATCAATCACAAGGTTGAAAAGTGGTGAACTTTTGTTGTCTTGTTCTCTTAGTGGTGGTGTTTGTTTTGTGGTCTTGAGATGGTGAAAAAAAGGGAGGCTTGTTTTGATGCTTTTAGTTTTTTTAAAGTTAGCTTAGTTCTACTAGTTGTACTCGACTAAAATGGGATGTGGGGACTGTGTTCTTGGCTTGTATGTGGGTCATCATCACTCATCAATGAAATGGAATGAATGGTTGTCTGTGTACAAAGTTGCCTTTGGGATTATATATAATTAATTATGTAGTTTGCTATCCTTCACTAGTGGTTTTAGTTAGTGTTTTTCCTTTCCCTCGTCACTTGTGAAGAATTATTTTGTTTTCTTATTATTTTATTAGTTAAAAAATATTATAATAAAATAATCTTAATTTAAAATCAATAATTTAGCGGTACTTTCTCAAAGTCGAGGTTTAAGTCTTTGTAGCGGGTGTAGGTGGGTGAGTATATTTTTTGTCAAGATAAAATAATAATAATAATTTAATTTAAATATTTATAAAAAATATATATATATTTAATGGTTGTTATCAAATTTTCTTAATTTATTTAGTTTTAGGTCTTGATTGTAGCCCTGACCCATCACTTGTTTTTTTTTTTTTATTTAAAGATGACATGTCTATATCTAGCAAACTTAATTTGGAATTTTCTAATCCTCCATTGATTGGCATATTTCTTTACATTTTCATGGGTAAGGTTATATTACTTTTATAAATTGGCATATTTCTTAACATTTTCATGGGTAAAAGAAGAAAAGAATTAATTACCTTTTGCAATTAAGAAAAAAATAAATAAAGGAAAATGTTGGAATTTAATACTGATTGCTAGCACCTACATAGTAAGTGAGAAATTAATTAGAAAAGCATATTACACTGACAAAAAAGGCAAACAATTATAATCAGATAATATGTCATTTTCCGTATTGAAATCTTAAATTGCCTCCACCTTGGACGAAGGGCCTAATAGCATCTGGAATCCTTTGGGTGGCATGATTTTAACTCCACAACAATAATATATATATGTATATATGATTGTATTGTGTATTTTTATACAATATGGAATCAAATTTTAGTGGACTAAAATATTCTTTCATGATAAGCTAGTTTTTAGTAGTAATTGTGTATAGAAAAGAGAAAAATACTATTCTTTTATTTTGTCTCTTCCTCTTTCCTCCATCTTCTATTGGTTGGTGTGCCAATTATGAAAAATATGCTAAATTGCCAATGAGCTTACATTGGTTCAATGTATACAAACTTTGGTTTTTGCAAACTTTTCTGGTAATTTTATACGTACAAGAGTTTCAAGTGAAATTCACTTGTTATTGGTATAGGTCAATTTATATTAATTTTATCTAAATTTATTATATTACGATCGTAACTCATATTATAACCATGATCGATACTGTAACCATGAGCTAAATATGTTATCTATTTTAATGCAAACAAATCTACTTTATTAACCTTTCCATGCCATGCCTTGTCACCAAAGACACAGTGAAGTCCATCATCAATGCTCTTTCATCGGTTTAATCTATTAAATTTCGCTCTTATAAATTGAATCCTCTAAGTTAAAATTTTTCTAAGTTATCATAAGTTGAATTTCTTACATAATGACACGTAACATTGAAAATTATCTATTGCTGGTGTTAAACCATGTCAACTAATTTAAAAAATTTTAAAAAACTTTATCGTTTTGAAATAAGAAAAATTTACTAAAGTTAAAAACTGTACCGTTTTGAATTAAGGAAAATTCACCACGTTATCTCTCTCTCATCTTTTGAAAAAAAAAAAAAAAGATTATCTCTTTCTCTTTATTCATATCTGAAACAAGTCGCGTCTCTGTTTCTCTTTTAAATAGTAAAGAATTTTAGACTTTTTTTTTCTTAGTTGGTACTCACACAACTTCGATTTCAAATGATTGTTTGCACGAAATTTTTAGATTTTATATTTTTTTTATCATTTTATTTTTTGATTTGGGTAATATGTAATGGATCCATTAAAACAGAATTCAACTCAACCATATGCATGATTAATATCACTACAGACACTACGTATTTTGGAGTAGTAGCATAAATCAAGATATCATGCATTTGTATTGTCATCATTCTACATATTGTATTAAGATTTTTTTTGCTGAAAAAAGATTTAAACTGGTGCAGTTTCTAAAGAGGAGAGAGGGAGGATCTTTTTTTGGAAAAGATAAAGGAGAGATAACGATATTAAACATTGTTAAAGTATGGTGAATTTTCTTTAATTTAAAACGGTGTAGTTTTTAAATTTTGGTAAATTTTTCTTATTTCAAAACAATATAATTTAAAGAATCTATAACTCAGAGGATCCAGGATCCAAGTACTTTCAAAACACCATTACAATTTGAAAAATAATTTAAAAAAACCTCAATTGGTATAATTATCTACGGATGTGTTTATTATAACTTGACAAAGAGGGCTAGCACTGATCTATATAACCATCATATAAAAATGAAAGTTGTTAATATCAAATTTTAATTGGGGCAATCTTAAGAATTTTTTTTTTTATAATTTGAAAGGCACAAGGCGAAGTCAAAGTGACAGTACAGATGCATAAGCCAAGCAAGATAAAGGCATACAAATAATAAAGTAAAATAATAAAAATAAAGAACAGACTCCAGATTTGTTGAGAAAGAACCACCGCTCTAGAACGAAAACCACCGAGGGAGAAGAGTAGCAACTGGAGTGACTAAACGTCATGTCATCATCAAGGTAACAGCTCGAAAACTGTATCCACAAGGCGCCTCCACACACCCAACTCCGCACAAGATCAAATCAAGTCAAGGAAAAAAAAAATCGACCTAGATCAGAGATCTAGCCAAAGGGAAAATAACAGATCCACTCCGTCGAGTCGGAAACAAACCAAATAAGAGCAGATCAAGTCACACAAAAATAAAAATAAAAAAAGACGTGAAAAACCACTCACATGGCGAACTTATTGAGACACGCCGAGGTTATTAATCTGTGGGAGGCAAGCAAGGTCACCTCCCCACTCCCATGTAAGGGAGCAGGGAGCAAATCGAAAGGGGACGAGCGGCTGAGAGAAAGAGAGAGAGAGAGAGAGAAAGGGTAGAGAGAGAACAGAGAAAAAGTTAGAAGCGAAGGCAAATTTGAGTCTCAAAGTAATTATTCACCTAAAAAAAAAAACAATTGGTTAATTATGTTTTTAATCTTTACACTTCCATCACTTAAGAGGAACTTGTTCCATCATAACAAATCTAAACTTGGGCAAGAAATACACTTGTTAACGTTACTTAGCAAAGCTTAAATTTGATGAAAAAAAGCAGGTTCTTTACCTCATATATATCAATTATATTCATATCAATTTATAATTTTTTAAATTTTAATTAAATTTCAACCACCAAGTAAAAGTTTCCGGTCCATCATTGCAAGTGAACATGCATATATATATTTTTTTATTAACAAAAAACTAACATATCCATTTGTTTCACAAGACTGAAACTCGACTTCATCTTTCATTTTGAAAGATAGAGAAAATAAGATTAGGCCACAACGTTACATGTACCTTGCAAGTAATTGATGAAGAGAACAGGAACCAAAATACGGAAAAAGCCGGTACACGCCAAATGACGCAATCAAATTAAACCGTGTGCATGAAAAAGCGAAGGTCACTTGTGCCGTGAAAGCAAAAACAACTAAGTATATTCTTGGTCACTTTAACACCACATAGTTTAATTGTATTAATTTATTAGAAATTTCTAATTAACAGGATTAAGAATAATAGTTAATTGCGTGTTCATGTTGGTCAGTTTGCTCCAGCTTGTGGGTTGGGTGTCTCTCTCATTTGCTCATCATAGACAGACTTGTTTAAGATACAATTATTGTACTAAAGATGAAGAAAACAAATGTGTTTGCTAGACAAACTACAAACATAAAAGCAATTCACTAATGTCCTTGATGATCATGTTTTATCCTATGTCTTAAGCAATTGTATAAGTATTATATTTATATATATATACACACACACACACACACACATACACACACATTAGACAATCTTCCTTCACCCAATGTAACAAAACCTAGGGGAAAAAAAACTATATTTATAATATTTCTAATCTCATAGCAGCTTTTCCTTCTTCCATATAAACTTACATGATTTTCTCTTTTAGTGACGTAGAGAACAATTATCGTACAATTTAATAAAAATAAAGTGGTAAGAGATAACCCTGAAACAGAAAATAAAACTATTTAAAAATGCAAGTTGTTGTAATAAAAAAAAAAAGAAAGATAAAAGAAAAAAGATAAGGGTAGATTAATATAGGTGGATGAGCAATTAATTATGTTGATAAATTAAAATAGAGCGAACAGTAAAAAAGAAGGATGATGAAATCAACCGTCATGCCATTTCTATATTTAGATTTTGATGGCTTGTTATAAAGAGGTAAAAGAAAGGATTAATATTGTATTAAGGAGATGACGAGATCATGGCCAGCAATTAATGGAAGGGATTCACAATTGGTTGACAAAATGGTGTCTTATTTTAGGTATATATATTGTTTTGTTACAAAGGGTATAGTAATATTCATTGTTTAAATAATTAATTGCAAATTATTGGAGATAACCAGACCTTCTCAAGTAAACTGATGTCAACTTTTTCAACATGATAACTCAAACAACATACAGACTTTGAGACGTGTATTCACTTTCCTTAAAGTGTTATTTGGCCCACTCAAATTGAGTTTGCTAACGGGTTCAGTAGCAAAACACTCACAGGATACAACAAAGTCTGAATTACTGTAGTTAGCAATACTAAAAGAATTCCTTAAACACTCGTTGAAATTGTTATGACTAAATACAACACAAGAAAGAGAACAGAAAAAGTATATTCAGAATGTGCTGCACCATCACTATTTATAAACTTCCAAAAGTTGCAAACCAAAAGTCACATATCTTCTGAATAGTTATAACCTATTCAAAAGGTGCAAATCAAAAGTCACATATCATCTTAATAGTTGCAACCTATTTAGAAGGTGCAAACCAAAAGTCACGTATCATTTGAATAGTTGCAACCTAAAATCAAAAGTCACGTGTGTGTGTGTGTGTGTGTAGAGGCGGAGGCAGCATGTGCCTGGGGGGTAGCTGTCCCCCTGCCCATGCTGCCCCACTAGAATATATATTTATTTTTATACATAAATTTGTAAAAACTGACACAATGCCCCCCTGCCCCCTAAAATTAATAAAATGGCTCCTCTACTACTGAATTCACTAAA